GGCCAAATTGCAGCAAAACCAAAACGTAAACAAAAACGAGCTGTCATTATGAAATTCGGGCTTAGTTTGATGTTTGACAAGACCAAAATACATCTGCGCGAATCACTGTGTGCGAATTGACTGTGATCCATTCGCACAAGTGCATTGGTAGCCCTTTAAAATTTCAAAAAAGCCCAGATTTCATGATTACAGCTCGTTTTTGTTTACGTTTTGGTTTTGCTGCAATTTGGCCTTCCTGGTTTTTTTTCGAATGGATATTTTTGTGGATTTAGATAATTTATCGTCTATTTCAAATCCATTGAATGAATTTCTGTGAAAAAATGAGTTTGTCGGTGTTTTTTCTATGATTGAAGAACCGGTCAAAGAGGCAATACAATTTGTGTGAATTTTCGACTATTTGGCCACTTTTTCCAATGAAAATTACGTGAAAATAAATGTTTGCATTGGGAATTCATCTCTGGCAGTGAGATTGAATCGAAAAAAGTGGAAAATATCAGATTAGTTTTAGCCAATAGTGATATAACCTCAAAATTCGACGAACTTTTGTTTTGCTTGTGGGTAGTGGCATCTTGGACTGATTCCGAACAAAAATATATGAAATCGATTCCAAATTCTCTACTCTATCAAACTAAAACTACCATTTTCTGTTTATTTAATACCAAAAACACCCTAGTGTTGGCCTCCCATGTTGACCCAGTTTGAAGAGCAGAGGTCAAAAAGTGAAAAAAGTACAAAAATCACCAAAGTGGGTAAACATAGTAATTATTTTATAATATTTAAATGAATAATTTCACTTTTGCCCCACGAATTGACTTTATAAAAAGAATTTTATCAAGTAAAAACTATTTTTCATTTCAAATGCTTGAAAACTAGCGTTTTACAAGAAATTGTAGACTTGTAAATCAGTTTTACAGATGCCTGTAAAATTGTAAATCAATTTTACAATTTACAAGTTTACAATTATTGTAGCTGTACGGTGCAACGGGTCCCCTGAATCTGTACATATTATTATTTTTCATACAAACGGAATATTTTGTTAACTTAATATCTAGAAGAATTCGCCAAACGATTTTCTTTTTTGTATAAATGCATTCATGTGCGTGGAGTTTTGAATTGAATTTTGTTGAAAATAGATATATAAATTTCTCATTTAAGAACAAAAAAATGTATGTCATAGCACGTTCTTGATTTGAATTTTGGATTTCGTGAGTTTTCGTTCAAAAGGTCATTATTATTACTTTAGTTTTCCTTCACAAAACATATTCGGACCTTTTGGACGATGGCTAGTTAAAATGAATTTTAACAAAATGTGAGTAACAGTTGTAAGGCAATTTTCTCACACCAATCAAATTTTACTTTAGGCGCGTGTTCACTTGTGATACGAGTGTCTGAAAAAGTATGTGAACGGTCTGAGAAGGGAACACATCGAGTCTTGTTGTATACATATAAAATCTATGACATCCGAAAGTGGACGGCATTCCTATTTATGTTTATTCTCAGTCACTTGGCCTTTCATTTTAAAACATCGCATATATTCTTTCTGAGTACTCACAAAACAATGTTTTCTTAAAACTAAACGAACTGTCATCTAAAATGTATATTCAGATGACACATTCCTTTAAAATAACGTTTGCTCTCTAGTTTTTGTTCGAAATTCGACACACAACCGAAGAATATCCGCCCAAAAGAGAATGCATTAAATCGCTATTTTAAACGAAAATTAGATGAAAAATACAATTTAAAACGAATGTATCTTCTGAATACACATTGGATGACGCGTCCTTTAGTTTTGAAATGTTCAAGCATGTCCGTGAGCGCCTCCAGCGAGCCAGCTCCTCAATATGTGTGTGCTCAGGTAAGTGAGAGCTGGTTCATTTATGTGACGTTGCCATACAAAAAATGTCAGAATATTGACAGCTAATATTTAAAAAAAATCGAAAATGTCCTGACATTTGGTCGTACATTAAAGCCACCTAAATGAGCCTCTCTGTGTTGAGCGTTCATATATTGGGGAGCTGGCTAGCTGGAGCAGCTTAAAGATATGCTTGGGAATGTTATTTCTTCCGAAGTCCGTCAAAGTATAATTTATGTAATAATGCATTATATTCTTTTCGATGTGTATCCATGCATGCATACTTGTTAATAGACAAAACATTATACTGCTCACTAAATTAGGCTTTGGCAGGCTTCTCTGAATAAAGTAACATTATTTGCACTAATAATTGTTTTATTTTTAAATAATAATTTTTTTTTTGCATCACAATAAATAATGTTCTTTGATATTCTCGAAATTTTGTTACAAGAGATTGTTTATTTGACCCACCTGAAAAAGAAAATAAAAATGTTTGAAATATTTTTTCGTATAACTGAAAATAAAATTGGTTTATTTTTGCATTGATTGGAATTTTTGATGGAAAAATTAAAAAAGAGAAAATTAATAATACAATAAATGAACATTTAACTGAATGGAATAATTTACCAATGTTTTTCGATGTGCTTCCTTCTCTAAAACAACTTGTGTTTGTTGCGGCGTAAATTTTAAAACTGCAGCAATCACTTTTATAAGTGTAGTGCCATTCGAATTGATATTGTTGGTTAGATACTGAAAATATGCCCAGATTAAAGTCAAGCGGGAAAAAATATAATATTTTTCAAGTTCAATGGTCAAATATTTTTTTACCTGAAACATGATGTTTTTCAAATACTCGAATTCGGTATTAGCCGAAATGTCATCTGAATGATGCATTGAAACCTGTGTGGAGAACATGCAAGATATGAAAATATGATGAATATATTGAACAAAAAGATAATGCCTATCCCATTCGGTGGATGATACTATTGTTTGAAAGTTCTACTCATTCGTCACCTATACCGTCAATACTTAGCAAATGATGCACAATATACTATTATCTCTTCAGGACGGCAGCAACAATCGTAAATGGCGTATTTTAAATTAAACAGCCATTGTATTGTAACGTATACGATAATAGCACCCACCGATTCTATCAAAGATTAAAATAAAGACTTACAAGAGTTTCATCCAATTGCCGTGATAGTTTGTTATTTTGGAGCTTGAGTCGTTCATTATGTTGTTCCAAAATGAGATAATTTTCGCATTGTTGTTCTAAAAATAGATTACGATTTGACACATCTTGCACCTCGCTAAGGATTTTGTTCATTTGTTGCTCTAAATCGATTTTTTCTTTTTTCAACCGTTCAACAGTCGACAATTCGGTGTCTGAATCACTGCTTTCTTCGTTCGAATTATTTTCGGGTGAAAATGCACTTTCCGCTTGGTATTCATCGAACTTTGCCATGCTTTTATCTTGTTGCTGCTGTTGTTCTATAACTTCAGTTAACTGGTGCGTTAAAATCTCATTGGTTGCCTTTAATTCGGATTGCTTTTCTCGATATGCCTCGATATTTTCTTTTAATTCATCAATCTCATGTAACAGTTCGGCAATATCCCGTTGATTTTTGCGTTTTGTTTCAGCCAATTCGTACTTTAGATTCTCGTATGATCGTTTTGTTTCTTCAGCATCGTCAATCGATGGAGTTGAATTGATTTTTGCTTCCAACTCATTGATTTTATCTTGCAATGCGACAGTTTCGTTTTTATTAGTTTCAAGCTTTTCCGACTGATCATTGAGGTCAGCGTTGAGATCACTGATTATTGCTCGACAGGATTCCAATTCCTTCTGTGAATTTACTAATTTTTCCTCTGCTTGCGATAACTCCATTACCTTTTCGTCCAATCCCGATTTGATCGTCTTGTTTTCTTCGTGTTGTTTTTTATTTTCATAAATGTGCTGATCAAGCGATTGTTTAGACGCTTCAAATTCGGTGTACACTTTCTCGTATTTGGATTCAAGGGAATCTTTGGTGGTTTGAAGTTCATCGTTCATGAATTTCAATGTGTTCAATTGCTCTGTTAGCTGCTTGATTTCATTTTGAAGTTCTTCAGAAAATACCTGCGATCTTTGACAAATTGATTTTAATTGCTCGATTTCCTTATCCTTTTCGTCAAATACTTTAGTATAGTCACGCTTCTCTTCGGTCAATACATACAATTCACATTGTTGTGACTTTAATTTTCCCTTCAATTCGACTAGTTCATTGTTTATTGTCACGACTTCATCGTATTTTGTTTTGACATCACCTTCGAGTTGCTTGGTCAATTTGTTAAGATACTCATTTTCAATTTTGATTTGATCATATCTTTCCGAACTACTTTCGATATTTGCCAAACGTTTGACTGTCGCCTTTAAATCCTCTTTTTCATTATTTGACTTATTCAACAATTCGCCAACTTCGAACGATCGTTCCTTTAAAATGCAGATTTCCCTCTGAAGACTTTTATTTTGATGCTGAAACTTATCGTTTTCGATAGTGACATCATTTATTCTCGCATTTAATTGTGCGCATTTACTGTCGAGTTCAATTTTACTCGTTTGTAATAAACTATTTTCACTGCGTAGCGTTTCCAAATCAATTCGCAATTGGCCACACGTTTTCGTGAGTTCAGATTTTTGCTGTTCAAGTGATGATTGCTGATCGACTACACATAATTTCTCCTTTTCTTTGCACTCAAGTTGATCAAGTAATGATCGGTGCTCTAAATCCATTTGCTCTTTTGTATTGAACAATTCGGCATAGTCATCAAGTGATTTTTTCAATTTATCTTGCAATCGGCTATTTTCTTCCTTCAGTGAATCGATTTCAAGCGTAAGCTCAGAAATCCGATCATTTAATCTTTGATTATTTACATTTTCCTTCTTCAACGCACCTTCAAAGTCCTTTTGCGACGATTGTAATCGATTATTACTCTCTTCCAGCAGACAATTCTTTTCAGCCAACTGTGAATTTTCACATTCAATGGTTTTGAGTTTAATTTCAAATTCTTTGATTTTGGTGGTAAGTGCTTCTATCCGATCATCGTCAGCCTTTGAGTCAACATGATGTTGCTGCGCCGATTCTTCTTGCAACATTCGTTTCTCTTGCTCTAATTCGGAGTACTTTTGTTTTACATCCTTCAATTGTTCTTCCAATCGCCCAATTTCCTGTAAAATATTTGTGACTTGATTTTGTAGCTCGGATTTTTCACGAAGCGTCTTCTCCAATGTCTTTTCTAAATCTTTCTTTTCACTCTTAAGCGAATCAATTTTTGATGTTAAGCCGATAACTTCTGATTTTGAATCATCTTTTTCAGCATTAAAATCGTTTTTATTCGTCAATTCTCGCTCGAGTTTTGCTACTATTTCTTTGGTCGTGTCCTGTTTCTTCATTAGTACGTCAACTTGAGTTTTTAATTCTTCGACTAAACCGTTTGCTTGAGTTAATTGAAGTTTCGTTGCATCTAATTCGGCCGTAACACTGGTTCTCTCCTCGAATAGTTGTTTAAATCGTGATTCAAGCTTCATTTTATCGGCCTTTACGGAATCAAAATCGCTTGACATTAGTTTTATGGAATCCCGATTTTCACTGAGCATTTCTTTTGATCTCTTTTGCTCCTCACTCAATTGTTGACTCAATTTGGTATTCAATTCCTTCGTTGTTTTCAATTCAGTTTCCAATTTTTCGTGACATTCCATAACGCGAGTTCGTGTGATTTCCTCTAGTTGCTCATTTTTAATCATCAGGGAATCATATCGAGCTTTAAATTTCTCCAACTCCAATGCATTTTTCGCTAAAATACTTTGTTTTTCACTATCCAGTACGATGACCTTAGCACGGAGTTCTTTGTTATCACTTTCAGCGATAATTGCATTCTTTTTCATTTCATCGACTTTTTCCTCGAGCGAACGTTTGGCTTCCGACAATTCCTTAATGCTGACATTTGCCTTGCTATTCAATTCACGCAGCTCCGTCACGATTTCATTGAGACATTCTTTTTCACTGGCCGATTGTTTGGCATCAATTTTTAATGATTTCATTTCTTTTTCCTTATTTTCCAACTCCGAGTGAATGGCGAGTTTATTTTGGGCCAGTAAAATGGTGTTTTCTTCTTCGCGAATAATCAAATCTTTTACCTGCTTCTGTGATGATTCCAATAATCGACTCAATTCCGCCGATTTGTTCTGTTCATCAGAAATTTGCTTTTTCATTGCATTGAGCTGGGTCTCGAGAGTTTTAATCTTGTCATTGGAGTCATTAATCATAATACTAGCACCAGCAATGATTTGATTTTCTTTTTCCGTCAGATCGGAAAATTCATCGGCACTGTCAGTGATGTTTATTAAATTGTCTGAACTATTATCGCTGATTAACTGTTGTTGTATTCCATTCACGTCGTTTAGCGATATCAAGTTATTGGTTCCATTTTCAACAATCTCTTCAATATTTTCTTCGCCGTTTAACGACAATTTCGTCTTGAGCGTATCAATGATACATTGTTGTTCGTCCATTTCCATTCGCAGCGCCGCTTCGAGGTGTGCTTTCGCCTGCTGCTCCAACGAACACTGTTCACGCAACTCACTAATCCGTCGAAGAGCTTTATCTTGCGTTTCTACTAGCACCGACTGAAATTTCCAGACAGAAAATTAACAATGATAATAATTTTTTTTAAATGTGGGCTATACAGTCATGATCTGGATTAAGCAAATATTCTTCGACTATACATTTTTTCATGGATCATTCAACCAGAAGCCCAATTTCTTTTCACTTCCGTATGTCAACACTAATTAACAATCTCTAACAATCCCTTAGAGGATATTTTTCCCTTTTCAACCGAAAATATTGAATTACATTTTATTATTTATAAATACTTTTATCGAAGTTTACCCTTGCTTTATTGTTATCCCTCTCAAGATCTCGATAGCGTCGCACCAATTCCGAATATCGACTTCGATATTTCTGATAGCGTTCGAGTGATTTCTTATAAGCGTCATAGAGTTTTTCTTTGCTAATCACATCCAATTGTGCTTCGTATCCAAAAGTGGATGCGCTATCTTCAAATTCACTCGCTGATGCATCAATATCGGATTGAATATTGTAGGCTGATGGTGATGTATCTAATGATGGCAATCGAAAAGACACATCGCTGGCCATGGAAGAGTTGGATAGTTTACGTACGCGTACCGTTGGAACGTTACCGTTGTTTGGTGTATGTTGGTTTTGGAAATTTGATATCGAATTCGGACTAATGATCGCTTTAGCTCCTGTGGCTGTATTGCCGAGATTTGAACGATGCGGCGAATTCTGTGGAGTATCTACAAAATAACATTAAAAAAAATAACGCAAAAATAATTGGAAATAATCGCAAATAAATATAATAAACGTTCGTTCACCTTCTTCGGCAATGCTGAAAAAATTATCATTCGATGGAACCGATTCCGATGTTGTGCTGGATGCTGAGCTGACAGCAGCCTGTTTCGAAATAAGTTTAACAAAATAAACAGAAATGTGATGATAGTGGTCGAAGCTGTGGCGACAACACCAACAACAATTATCATTAAATTAGTAGTTCTAAGTCGAAGATAAAGATTGAAAAAAAATATATGGAACAATATTGTATAGTTCTAGATTATGAAATGGCTGCTGAATCGCCTTAGCGATTCATTCTACAACATAGCACACACGTACGTGGATGTTCCGTTCTTCCTTTGGAGAACTGGAGATAATGAGTCGAATTGAGTTTCATCCATTCAAATCACATAGTTCAGTCATGTCTCATGAAATGTTGCAATATTTTCAATTGTATCATTGGAACCACTTTTTAAACGCTTTTCATTTGCTTTATTCTACACATAATATTCAAATTTTGTTATTTTTGTATCTCTCTTCACTAATTACCTGTGCAACTTGAGCAAGCTGTTGAATTCGCGAAGGTGATGATTTCACCTCTTCGGCGATTTTATCCTTCAATTTTTTGAACATGTTCGTATACACCCACAATCAATTTGATATTCGCGATAAATCCAATCAATTGGATGATATTTGCTGGGAATGTTTATTTTACGGTACAAAAAAAAAAGACATTAATACAGCGATTACCACACTTGTTTGTTTTGATTTTTGGTCCTTCAGTCGCTGACTATTCGTTATTTTGTTGTTGCCCTTTCTCTTAATATCTCCCTTTTTTGTTTTCTATATAGCATGCATTTTCGTTTAAATTGAAGCACATTTCGCGTTCGAAAATAAATTGATGGATTTATTGTGTGTTTTCCTTTTGAAGAAACAGAAAAAAAAACAAATACCCGCAACTAATTTTTAACAATGATGATGATGGTAATGATGAGCTCTACGCACATTAACATTGATGTATTACAAAAAATAGACACCTTCTACTGTCAATCGACGTGTAATATTTTCATTCTTTTTCACTTATTCGCTACTCCTCTCATTCATTCCTATTCATTTTTGATGTCGTCATATACTATCAATGTCTGTTTAGTACTGAATATCGTGACTTATATTCCCGTTTAAAACGCATTTGACAAACGATTTTCTTTTTTCATAAAAAATATTTTTTTCCTATCGCCGATTTATCGTCTTATTCTTTTAGAAGGAAAATAATTATCTTTTATAATCATGTCATTTGATTGTTTTATCATGCAAAGGTTTGCCTGAAATCTAGTACATCAAAAAGGTTACACAAATGAATGTCATGTTAGCATTGACAGATGGTTTGGATATACATATACTTTTTAGTACAACCTTAAAATGGAACAAATTGAAGTGTCAATGTGACTGGTAATATGGCGACATGAAACGTTTTAGAAGCGTTCATTGACGATTGCAATCACTAACATAAAAAAACCAAGTTGAGCAGAAATATTAAAACGCATTTTTTTCTTCAATAGATTAAGTCAAGATAAGTCATATAAATTGAACATTTTTTATAGATTTTTCTGTGTGAGAGTGGAAAGAAAAGAATAAGGTAAATTTTCGCATATATTTATCTATGTCTTTTAGATTCTTTTAGTAGGCGGCATGCAAACACGTAAATGTTTGGTTAAAATAATTTTAGATTGTTTGTGTGTGATTTCCAATAGAATAAAGTTTTCGAGTTAAAGCGTCAAAACTAGTTCATTTTTGGTGTTTTTATTGAAAAATTTATTAGAAAATATGCTTCGTTTATTCTACATGTTGTAAAAAATCAAAACATCACTGAGTTTCCGGTAAAACTAAAAATTATCTTTATGTTTTTTTTTTCTCAAATTTGATTGTGATATTCTGTTGTATGTACGGTGGATGTAAAATTATTCGGTAAAAATATGATTTGTTTGCAGAACAAGCAGAAAAACAGAGTGTGAAAAATAAAGAAAAATGGCGATTCCGCCGTATATGATACCGCCAAATCCATGGGCAGCGCATATGATGGCACAACAACAAGCACAAGCCTTTGCTGCTGCTCATCAGGTACAGATGCAACAACAAATGGCTACTTCACCAATCCAACAAATACCACCTGGCATGTCAGGCACCACAAATGGGCAAATGCCTGCATCCATTTTACCCAAGTCCGACACCATGACAGAAGAAAAACTGCAAGAGAAATCACAGAAATGGCATCAAATTCAAACAAAACGTTTTGCTGAAAAGCGTAAATTTGGCTTCGTTGATGCACAAAAAGAGGACATGCCACCAGAACACATTCGAAAGATTATCCGTGATCATGGTGATATGACCAGTAGAAAATATCGACACGATAAACGCGTTTATCTCGGTGCACTCAAATATATGCCACATGCAGTATTGAAATTACTCGAAAATATGCCTATGCCATGGGAACAGATCCGAGATGTTAACGTACTATATCACATCACCGGTGCCATCACTTTTGTCAATGAAATTCCATGGGTAATCGAACCGGTTTACATCGCTCAATGGGGGTAAGACTCTCTACAGAAGAATAATGTAGGAAACTTTTAAAAATAATTGTTTTTACCTTTTTTATAGCACAATGTGGGTAATGATGCGTCGTGAGAAACGTGATCGTCGTCATTTCAAACGAATGCGTTTTCCGCCATTCGACGACGAGGAACCTCCACTCGACTATGCTGACAACGTTCTGGATGTTGAACCTCTTGAAGCCATCCAAATTGAATTGGACACAGAAGAAGACGCTCCAATTTACGATTGGTTCTATGAACACAAGCCACTCGTTGGAACGAAGTTAGTTAGTTTTATATTTTGAAAAGATTCATGTATTTTATTTTATTTTGTTTTTTTTTTTTCATTATTTGAGAAATATTTGTTGTATCTTTTTTTTCTCGTTTAGGTATGTGAATGGATCAACATATCGAAAGTGGAATTTGTCATTACCTCAAATGGCTGCTCTATATCGGCTTGCAAATCAATTGCTGACCGATTTAGTGGATGATAATTTTTTCTATTTGTTTGATCCAAAGAGTTTTTTTACGGCGAAAGCTCTGAACATGGCCATTCCAGGTGGTCCCAAATTTGAACCACTTATCAAAGATCATAATGTTGGGTAAATCGACTTGATTTTTTCTATTTTTCTACGATTAACTGTGGAATCGATGCATAACACTATTGAATTTGCGAATATAGTTTTACCACGAGTGATTTAAATGTAAAATTGTGCTCTATTTACAGTGATGATGATTGGAATGAATTTAATGACATCAACAAAGTTATCATTAGACAGCCGATTCGAACAGAATATCGAATCGCATTTCCATACTTATACAATAATATGCCACATTTTGTACATCTTTCGTGGTAAGTTCAAGACATGTTATATTGACAAATTAGTTCCATTTAATTATGATCGACCTATTGAAAAAGTAATGAAATAGGTATGGTAATAGAATGGTAGAAAAATAAGCCCATTTAAGAAAATTACTATAAAAAGCGATATTCATTTCTAATTTAATGGTGTGGTTCATACAGATGTTTGCTTATTTAACGAGATTTATAAACGGCAGCTAATTAACCACAAACAGTTCATAAAACAATATTACAAAAACAGTTCTTTTAAGACTATATTACCTTCCCTATTATTAATTGTAATTAATTTGAAGAAAAATGTTTCGAAAAAAGTAGTTGATTTTGCTGATTTCTAAAAAAAATCGCGGAAGAAAATAATGACGAGTTTTTTCGTTAATTTTTTCTTCAAAGGTATCATACGCCAAACGTTGTGTACATCAAGACAGAAGATCCAGATTTGCCAGCATTTTATTTTGATCCATTGATAAATCCAATTTCACATCGTCAATCCATAAAAGTGGTTGAGGTGAGTGGTTTCGATGAAGATGAAGAATTCATATTGGATGAAGAAGTGCAACCGTTCCTACAAGACACACCATTGTATACGGATAACACAGCCAATGGAATTTCACTGCTATGGGCACCGCGTCCATTCAATATGCGCTCGGGTCGAATGCGTCGTGCAATCGATATTCCACTAGTAAAATCATGGTACAAAGAGCATTGCCCACCGGGTCATCCAGTCAAAGTTCGTGTTAGTTATCAAAAACTTTTAAAATACTACGTGTTAAATGCATTAAAACATCGTCGACCAAAACCACAAAAGAAACGTTATTTGTTCCGTTCGTTCAAGGCAACGAAATTCTTTCAAACGACGACATTAGATTGGGTAGAGGCTGGTTTGCAGGTGTGCCGTCAGGGCTATAATATGTTAAATCTCTTGATTCATCGAAAGAATTTGAACTATTTGCACTTGGACTATAATTTCAATTTGAAGCCAGTCAAAACCCTTACAACGAAAGAACGTAAAAAATCTCGATTTGGAAATGGTAAGAATTTTTAACATAATTGTTTTCTCTATACTCAGCGATGAGCGTTACCAAAATTTTGGCTGGCACACAGCACATTCCACCAGTTGCGAATACGATTTACCAGTTACAACATATGTGCATAGCACGACACATCACTTCGCAAGAAGTCGGGCGCTTCGCACCCACGTTGTAACTGGTGAACCGTGTTCGCACTAAATATGACATACATAATTGTACGCATAAGCCACAGTATGCGTTGATGCATATTCGCATCAACGAATGTATGACCGAAGCCGCAAATGGTAAAATGTACTGTGTACCAGCCGATTAACTGCTGACGTACATCACTGAGTAATAATAAAATTGGTTCAAACAAAAGAGACGTTAACTTACCTGCATTGGCTTGGAAAATTAAAAGAATGATCTTTATGTACATTTCAGCATTCCATCTGTGTCGTGAAATTTTGCGTTTAACCAAATTGATTATCGACTCACATGTGCAGTATCGATTGAACAACGTTGATGCCTTCCAATTGGCCGATGGATTACAGTATATTTTTGCTCACGTTGGTCAATTAACTGGAATGTATCGTTATAAATACAAGCTGATGAGACAGATTCGAATGTGCAAAGATTTGAAACACTTGATTTACTATCGATTCAATACGGTAACATTTAAGATAACCTATCTTCTTTAGATGAAATTGAGGCTTACATAATTTTATTTTTTGAAGGGTCCAGTTGGTAAGGGGCCTGGGTGTGGATTCTGGGCACCTGGTTGGCGAGTGTGGTTGTTTTTCATGCGTGGTATCACACCGCTATTAGAACGATGGCTGGGCAATTTGTTGTCACGTCAATTCGAAGGCCGTCATTCAAAAGGAGTTGCAAAAACGGTGACAAAACAGCGTGTCGAATCACATTTCGATTTGGAACTGCGTGCATCAGTCATGCACGATATTGTTGATATGATGCCCGAAGGTATCAAACAAAATAAGGCACGTACAATTTTGCAACACTTATCCGAAGCATGGCGATGCTGGAAGGCCAACATTCCATGGAAGGTACCCGGTTTGCCGATCCCAATCGAAAATATGATTTTGCGTTATGTTAAAATGAAAGCCGATTGGTGGACAAATACAGCACATTACAATCGTGAGCGTATTCGTCGTGGTGCAACCGTCGACAAAACGGTGTGCAAGAAAAATCTGGGACGCTTGACACGATTATACTTGAAAGCTGAACAAGAACGTCAACACAACTATCTCAAAGATGGTCCATATATTTCGCCCGAAGAAGCTGTTGCAATTTATACAACGACCGTTCACTGGCTGGAATCAAGACGATTCGCTCCAATTCCATTTCCCCCGCTATCATATAAACATGACACAAAACTGTTGATCTTGGCCTTGGAACGGCTCAAAGAAGCTTACAGCGTAAAATCTCGTTTGAATCAGAGTCAGCGTGAAGAATTAGGTTTGATTGAACAAGCTTATGACAATCCACACGAGGCATTGTCACGCATCAAACGTCATTTGCTCACACAACGTGCATTCAAAGAAGTTGGCATTGAATTTATGGATCTCTACAGCCATTTAATTCCAGTTTATGATGTTGAACCACTTGAAAAGATCACCGATGCCTACTTGGATCAATATTTGTGGTATGAAGCTGACAAACGTCGCCTATTTCCACCTTGGGTTAAACCAAGTGACACCGAACCACCTCCGTTACTTGTCTACAAATGGTGTCAAGGTTTGAATAATTTTCTATCAAACGCTTATTCTTTCGTTGAAATTTATCAAAAATTATTCAATTTTTTCAGGTATTAATAATTTGCAAGACGTTTGGGATGTATCTGAAGGCGAATGTAATGTACTGCTCGAGTCTCGCTTCGAAAAATTGTATGAAAAAATTGATCTGACATTATTGAATCGTCTTCTTCGTTTGATTGTCGATCACAATATTGCTGATTATATGACGGCCAAAAATAACGTTGTTATTAACTATAAAGATATGAACCATACGAACAGTTATGGTATCATTCGAGGTTTACAATTCGCCTCATTCGTTGCTCAATATTACGGTTTAGTACTTGATTTGCTTGTATTGGGGTTGCAGCGTGCAAGTGAAATGGCCGGGCCACCTCAAATGCCGAATGACTTCCTAACGTTTCAAGACTCAGCTACTGAAACCAATCACCCAATTCGATTGTACTGTAGATATGTAGATCGAATTCATCTATTCTTCCGTTTTACGGCTGATGAAGCAAGAGACTTGATTCAAAGATACCTAACTGAACATCCAGATCCCAATAATGAAAACATTGTTGGATATAACAACAAAAAATGTTGGCCAAGAGACGCTCGAATGAGACTCATGAAACATGATGTAAATCTGTAAGTTTCGCTTATACTTTTTTAATGTTCCCTATTAAACATCCTATCTTTGAAATGAAAACTAATCGTTAAGGAAAAATGAATCGAATTCGTGAATTTTTTTTCATAGAAGTAAATGATTTGTGGGCCTTTTTTGTAAATTTCGGTCAATATACCAACAGGAATAAGTTTTACAAAAATCTCGCTCCAACCAATTTTTCAAAACGATTGATCAAAAATGAAAAGTGAAACTACCACTCGATTCCTCGTCAAAAACTGAACAAAATTGAGCATTAGAGATCTTTATAAATCTTATTCCTGTTGGTATGTTAGATGAAATTTACAAAAAAGGCCCACAAGTGATTTACCTCTATAGAGGTATTTTTTCATTGAATTTTTTTTTCCTGAATTTTCAACATTTTTTCTACTTTATATTTTTTGATTGAAGTCAATTATTCTTTTCAACAAAATGTTCATAAGTTTTTGTAGGAAAAAATCAATGTAAACATATTCTTGTATTTTACAGGGGTCGTGCTGTGTTTTGGGATATAAAAAATCGTTTACCCCGTTCGGTCACCACGATACAGTGGGAGAATACATTTGTTTCAGTCTATTCAAAGGATAATCCTAACTTATTATTCAATATGTCTGGTTTTGAGTGCAGAATATTGCCGAAGGTAATTTCCAATAAACCATTTAATATTCTTTTAACCAAACCATTCATTGTTTCTTGTCATGTCTCTGTTTCTTCAGTGTCGTACCCAACACGAGGAATTCACTCATCGCGATGGTGTATGGAATTTGCAAAATGAAGTAACGAAAGAACGAACGGCTCAATGTTTCTTACGGGTTGATGATGAATCGTTGGGTCGATTCCATAATCGTGTTCGTCAAATTTTGATGGCATCTGGTTCGACTACATTTACGAAGATCGTGAACAAATGGAATACCGCATTGATTGGTTTGATGACGTATTTCCGTGAGGCGGTTGTAAACACACAAGAATTATTGGATCTGTTGGTTAAATGTGAAAATAAAATTCAAACCCGTATCAAGATTGGTTTAAATTCAAAAATGCCATCGAGATTCCCACCGGTCGTATTCTATACTCCAAAAGAGTTGGGTGGTTTGGGCATGTTGAGTATGGGTCACGTATTAATTCCACAATCCGATTTACGTTGGTCGAAGCAAACCGACGTTGGAATAACTCACTTTCGATCAGGTTCGTCGCAATTAATATCATGAAAATGTGAAGAAAAATATTCTAAAACATATTTATCATATTTTATTTTCAGGAATGTCTCACGATGAGGATCAACTGATTCCAAATTTATACCGTTACATTCAACCATGGGAATCCGAATTCATTGACTCGCAACGCGTATGGGCTGAGTATGCACTAAAACGACAAGAAGCAAATGCACAAAATCGTCGGCTAACGTTGGAAGACTTAGAAGATAGCTGGGACCGTGGTATTCCACGCATCAATACATTGTTCCAGAAAGATCGTCACACACTTGCTTACGACAAAGGCTGGCGTATTCGAACTGAATTCAAACAATATCAAGTGCTCAAACAAAATCCATTCTGGTGGACACATCAACGGCACGATGGAAAATTGTGGAATTTAAACAACTATCGGACGGACATGATTCAAGCACTTGGTGGTGTCGAGGGTATTCTTGAGCATACATTGTTCAAGGGTACCTACTTTCCAACCTGGGAAGGTTTGTTCTGGGAAAAGGCATCGGGCTTCGAAGAAAGTATGAAGTATAAAAAACTAACCAATGCACAACGCTCCGGATTGAATCAAATACCAAATCGTCGTTTCACACTATGGTGGTCGCCCACAATTAATCGAGCAAATGTTTACGTTGGTTTCCAGGTGCAACTTGATTTGACTGGTATTTTCATGCATGGTAAAATTCCAACGCTGAAAATTTCACTTATTCAAATTTTTCGCGCTCACTTGTGGCAAAAAATTCATGAGTCAATTGTAATGGACTTGTGTCAAGTGTTTGATCAAGAACTGGATGCACTGGAAATCGAAACGGTTCAAAAAGAAACAATTCATCCACGTAAATCATACAAAATGAATTCATCGTGTGCTGATATTCTACTGTTCCCAGCATACAAATGGAATGTATCACGACCGTCGCTGTTGGCCGATACAAAAGATACGATGGACAATACAACCACACAAAAATATTGGTTAGACGTTCAATTGCGTTGGGGTGATTACGATTCACACGATGTGGAACGGTATGCTCGTGCAAAATTCTTAGATTACACCACCGACAACATGTCAATTTATCCATCACCAACTGGTGTATTGATCGCTATTGATTTGGCATACAATTTGCACAGTGCCTATGGAAACTGGTTTCCTGGTTGCAAACCACTCATTCAACAAGCCATGGCTAAAATCATGAAAGCAAATCCCGCTTTGTATGTACTACGAGAACGTATTCGTAAGGCTTTACAATTGTACAGCTCCGAGCCAACTGAACCATACCTCTCCTCACAGAATTATGGTGAATTGTTCTCCAATCAAATTATTTGGTTCGTCGACGACACAAATGTATATCGTGTAACCATTCACAAGACATTCGAAGGAAATTTGACAACAAAACCAATTAACGGAGCCATTTTTATATTCAATCCACGTACCGGCCAATTGTTCTTGAAGATTATTCATACGTCCGTATGGGCGGGTCAGAAACGTTTAGGTCAATTAGCTAAATGGAAAACGGCCGAAGAAGTGGCGGCACTGATTCGTTCGTTGCCCGTTGAAGAGCAGCCGAAACAAATTATCGTCACACGGAAAGGAATGTTGGATCCATTGGAAGTGCATTTGCTCGACTTTCCGAATATTGTCATCAAAGGATCTGAATTGCAATTGCCATTCCAAGCATGTTTGAAGGTTGAGAAATTTGGTGATTTAATTTTGAAAGCAACCGAACCACAAATGGTTCTATTTAATTTGTACGATGATTGGCTCAAGACAATTTCATCATACACGGCATTTTCACGTTTGATTCTCATACTTCGGGCGCTGCATGTGAACACTGAACGTACAAAAGTGATTCTAAAGCCAGATAAAACAACAATCACCGAAGCGCACCATATTTGGCCAACACTGAGCGATGAAGAGTGGATTAAAGTCGAAGTTCAGCTCAAGGATCTTATTTTGGCTGATTATGGTAAAAAGAATAATGTAAATGTTGCATCATTGACACAATCAGAAATTCGGGATATTATTCTTGGAATGGAAATTTCGGCACCATCGGCTCAAAGACAACAAATTGCCGAAATTGAGAAGCAAACGAAAGAACAGTCTCAACTCACTGCCACCACCACACGAACAACCAACAAGCACGGTGACGAAATTATCACATCGACCACATCGAACTATGAAACACAAACATTTAGTTCGAAAACGGAATGGCGTGTTCGAGCCATTTCAGCAACCAATTTACATTTGCGTACCAATCATATTTATGTTAGTTCGGATGACATCAAAGAAACTGGATACACATACATTTTGCCTAAAAATGTGCTTAAAAAATTCGTTACGATTTCGGACTTGCGTGCACAAATCGCTGGCTATTTGTATGGTGTGAGTCCGCCCGATAATCCACAGGTGAAGGAGATTCGTTGTATTGTAATGCCACCGCAATGGGGAACACACCAAACCATAAATTTACCAACACAATTGCCATCGCATCAGTATCTTAAAGATATGGAGCCGCTCGGCTGGATTCATACACAGCCCAATGAATTGCCACAACTTTCACCACAAGATATAACAACACATGCAAAAATTATGTCTGATAATCCAACGTGGGACGGTGAAAAGACGATTGTGATAACGTGCTCATTTACGCCCGGTTCGTGTTCGCTAACCGCTTATAAATTGACACCATCTGGCTTTGAATGGGGCTCCAAGAATACCGATAAGGGAAACAATCCAAAAGGCTATCTACCTAGCCACTACGAACGCGTCCAAATGCTTTTGTCAAATAAATTCTTGGGTTTCTTCATGATACCGTCACAAGGCAGTTGGAATTACAATTTTATGGGTGTGCGACATGATCCAAACATGAAATACGAACTGCAATTATCGAATCCAAAAGAGTTCTACCATGAAATTCATCGTCCATCACACTTCTTGCTGTTTTCAAACCTTGAGGATGGCGGTGTTGACGGTAGCAATGGAGCTGATCGCGATGATGCCTACGCCTAAGCTCCATGGGCCCACACAAGATTAAATTTATATTACTTAGCGTTTTAAAACGAACACTTTAATTCATTTCTTTTCCATTTAACTGGTAAATGAACGATCCATTAATCTTATGAATTTCAAAATATCGAATTATAAAAACTTATAAAAAATAAAGAAAAAAAAACAAAAGTAAAATTAAACTCGTTTTATTCGTTAAACATTAAGGCAATTGTTATTTTGCTGTTTTTTACGGACTATCATTGAACAGTTATCATCATTCATGTTTTGTGTTTTTTAAATCAAATATCATCATAATTGCCTAGTTTTATTTCGTTTAATAAGTTTTTGGCTTCGATGTGAACAAAAACCAGAATTTATTTGTTTCATCGAGGTACTATTTTTTTCTCCACGTTTCACAGATATTGTTGCCATTCTACAATGACAAAAATATACAATTTATTTCCCTCATTAACACTTTTTTAATACAATCAAAGAATTTTGCATTTTTATGGTGACATTTGACTTGATTCTCATCGTAATTTAGATTTGTCTGCTCCAGAACACACCTGACATATCTAATAAAATTTAAACATGCTTTCCCAAGTCCTTTTGATTGAATTTTTTTTTATTAATTTAACTATTCTGTGTTTTTTACTTTAGATTAAAATTATGCATGTAGAAAAATTGTACTGAACGAAAAACAAAAGTCGTTGAATCCTAAGTGATAGGTTATCTTAGCCCCAAATAACTATCGATATCAAGAAAATATGTTTCTCCTCTCGACGTGTACCTGTACATAAAAATATCCTTTTTATTTCATAATATTTCGCATTCAACTTAACTGCTATTGTCATCATCTTTAAAAAATCATTAATGTCGCCTGAATCGCAAACCGATGGGCTGATATGCAAGATCTGTTTTGTTGCTGTTATAGTTCTTGTTGTAGTTATTATAATATTATACAAGAATAAATTCTTGAATGTGGAGTGAGAATATATAAAAATATATATTCATTAGAACATCCTTTCGGCTGGCTGTTACTTCCCTTGCTTATTTCTTCAAAGCACATTAATATTTATCGACTTTATTTGTTTTTTTTTTTGTTCGTATGCCTCGTTCGGCCTCGTTATATTTTGTGGGAGAAGTTATATCTCAGTTCGACCACCACTCAGCGGTGCTGTAAATTAGAAAAAAAAAATAAAATTAGAACTTTTCATACCATTTAATTGATGATAACCGATGACAAATTATGGAAAAATTTGTGTTGAAATAATTAAAATTTAATCAAAATTTGAGATGAAGAAAAACGAGAATTAATAAAATTATGGAGAATAAACATCCTTTCATTTTCAAAAACTGTTGTTTATTTGAACAAAAAAATCAATTTGCAGAAAACTCACGGAAAGACACTCAAAAAATTGTGTTCCGATGGAAAATAACCAAATAAAGATTAATGATATTTACGAAGATGAAGAAATATATAAACCGAAATGCTATTACCCTTGCTAATATTGCCAGTGCTATTTTGTGTATTTCGATTATTGAATCGTTTTGGATTATCACAGTCATTGTTGTAGTCGGCTCGTTGCTGTTGCCATTTCTGTTGTAGTCTGGGCGGCAGCGTGCGATTATTCATGAAATTATCTTTGTTTCGTGAGAACGATTTGCGATTGTACGATTGGAAATGTTCAAAATTGTCGTTTTCTTGATTTCGTCGATTGAACGAATCATGTCGAGTGCGTTGTTGACCAAAATCTTTACCTTTACTATCGACACTTCCGCCCCGAGTAAGATTTCGTCTATTATAACTCCCACCATCATTGTGTCGTCCGTTGTTATTCGAGCTTTCACGGTCATAATCACCACGTTTATTATATCCATTACGTGAGTCATTTCGTGGTGAACTTCGACCACCCGTACTACGCCAACTCTGATGATAGTTTTGCTTTGAATCATTTCGATGTGTACGTTTTTCATTCTGTTGATGTAAATCTTCGTTCGATTGACGATAGTACTCGGAACGAAAGCGATTCAAGCTGTTGCGTCGGCTACGATTCGTATTCGATGGTTTCGGTGATATGCGCTCCTGTGGACTCGCCGGATTCGAACTATATGATGCCACACTCAATGTATCAAATTTGTTACTTCCACTACTATTGTTGAGATTGGGTGTAAAATCAGGAAGTTCTTCTCGTTCAACTGCTTCGAACCAATTAAAATTCTCCAGCTTTGGATGAATATTTTGCCGTACACTTTCGTGTGACTCAGTTGGACTGGCAACGGTTTCAACTTTCGTTGTTAGTGTGTTGATTGTAGCTGGATCTTGGTAATTTGTCGATATAGTTAGTAGCGTCAGTCGATTAGCTGATGCATCATTGCATTCGAATTGATTGTTATTTAGCGAATTGGTTTGACTTAAGCATATTTCTGAACTAGATCCTTTAATTGCTTGAATGCGTGGTGATTTTTGCGTGTCATCGGTACGTCTCACCTCTTTTGTCAGTTCTGAATTGCTATTTTGAAAGTATTTCAGTCTATCGCTAGCTTTGAGAGGCCGATTTAAATATTCGCGATTTATTCTACGATGATCATCTTGTCCACCGTTTGTTTTTAGGCAGGCAAAATCCTTTTTCAAATTACGCAGACTGTAACTTCTATTTGCCGGTTCATCGGATTCGATAAATTTTTTTGAATCAGGCAGAGGATGTTGACTTCGATTTTCTGTGCTATCATGCTCATCTAAAAATTTACTATAAAATTTTTCCAAATTGGTGCCAACACTCTTGAATCCACTATAGTAGAGATCTAATGACATTAGTAGAAACGCTTTCGTCATCGATGCCAAATTCGGCACCTCTATCAAACACTTACGCAGCTCATAGAATAGCTGATCAATTTCATTTGAATGGTGTGTCTTTGCTAGTGAACCATTTAAGGTAACCTTGAATGCCAAATCAAATTCCATTTTAGTTTCGAGTAGAAAATTAAAAATATGCTATTCTGTATTTGCACCTACTTGAGTTAGTAGCAGTCTGGAGAATTGCACATTGAATACATGCGTCGGATCATTTGTACATTTGGCGGACTCAGATTTTAATTCTTTGGTTAACAGTTCAAAGAGACTGCGACCAATTATTAAAACTGGGTGGGATTTTTGATGCAAACGATTGTAAAATTCACCTAGCAACGTGATTGAATTGTAAAAATGGTCCATACTCAATGTTTTCAGCTTTTCAGCATCTTCAAAAATGGGGAGGTTGAAATACCCATTAACAAGATAATCAATTTAAAAATATTGTAGAAGAAATGAAATCCTTCAAAAAAAAACAAAAAAAATGAACATTAACGGAATTCGAAATGGTCGTACTCACTTGAATAATTTTGTTGAAGCATGTTTAAAATGTGTGCCCGAAAAATGCTATTGCCATCAGATGATTGCAAATGCTCTCGTAAACCATCAAAGTGGCAAGACGTGAACAACAGAGCAAAATTGATGGCAAATCCTTCTTCTTCCAGTGCTCGTTCATTAAAATATTGCAATGCCGACCTATTTAATTAAATTGTCAACAAGAATTCCAATTCAGATCTAGATCACAGAGGATATCGTGGCCACTACGATTACCATAGTATGATAATTCTACATGAATTCAGATCAGCTACTTACCATAACATATTTTCATCGCCTTCAAGAACTTCATTAATGTCACTAGCCAGGTATCTGAGTTTGCGATCCAATACAATCGAATCTTCATTCTGATCAATCACCTTGATCAAGTCGCAAAATGAATGAAAAGGGCTATCCATTTCACTATCGGGTAATTTTTGATTTCGTGCTGATAGTGGATAATGACGTTTTTTAATGCAATTCCAATCCTATCTCCTTTAGCTGACTTACTCTCTCGCTCTCTTATTTCTTTCTCTTCTTCTATCTGTCACTCCAAAGACCTAAATTCAAAGAACAGAAAAAAAACCTCATCATTGATGGCACAAAGTTTGCTTCATATATATATATATATATATATATATATATTGCACATAATTATGTGAAACAAACTAACCGGATGAATCAAACACGCGCCGGAGCGCAATTCACAAACTATTGCTTAAAAACAACACGTTTATCTAACAACATGAAATATATACATATACGAGGCATTTTCCTTTGGTTCCCGCACTATGTAGTAAAAAAGGCAAAACAATAATCTACCGTACCGTTTTCTACGTCGCCTTCTTCTTCTTTAATTTTCTTATATGTTTCTTCTTTTTCTATATAAAAATGCTATTGTTTTTAGCACGTTTCTATGAAAAATCATCATTGAAAAAAAATAGAAAGAATACACGCACACTAATCAGTGGATGTTTTTTTATAGGAACCAAGAGTAAAAGCACGAAGCAGAAGAAGTTCTGCAAAGAAAAGTAGGAAACAGAAAAAAAACGTAAATAATTAGACATACATAATGTTATGTCAATTGTATTGTTTGGTCGCGAAAAGACACTAACGAGCATTTTCATCGGATATATTAACTTGAAAATTTATAGGAAATAAAAAAATACAACACACAGACAGTCTTTGAAACACGCACAGAACAACATATAGACAGTGAAGAATTTTATTTCACACAAGATGACGATGAACAATAATAATAATAATAATAACAACAACAACAACAACAACAACCGAAGATATATATCGAATACATATAATATATGATATATCAAAAGTAACAAAAATAATTGCACACATTTAAAATCAACGAGGAGAGTCGATGAAAATGATATCCAGTTTATGGGGTTTCCGAATAATAGAAAAAGGTAGAAAAAACACACGTACAAAATTATTGGTTATCGGCACTATGAAAAATTGCACAATAAAAATAGGTACTTGCTTGATTATCGCTGTTGTTCGTTGTTTTTTGCTTGATTTTCCACTTACCTTTCTTTACCAGATGAACGAAACAAAACGACAACGAAAAATTAGAAATAATATTCCAATATTGACTTCTGAATCGTCTAGTTAATGTTCGTGTCCCGTTCTATCATTAATGTGGTATATTTTATGCTGTAATATGAAATGTTATGGCTTGAGACGACCCATTTGGTGTGCATATATGAGATCGTTTGAGCGTTTGTGTGCGTGTGTGTGTGTTTGTATTTGTGTTTGTATACGAATGTTTGCACTGACAGAAGTTGACGTTACGGCGAAGTGTGTGGTTGTCTCTTGTTTTGAATCGAACGCTGTCTACGGCTACCCGTTTCTTTCCTACATAATTTCTCCCGCTTTTGCGTCATTTCAAACATGCAGCAGACACAACGAACGGCCAAAGTATGAGTATGACCATTTTGTGACACCGCAAACACATATTCAAGTTCAATAGCAGCACCAAAACAATATAAGAACGCGCCCATTTTTTTCATTCGATTATTGCTGTTGGGTTTTTAGTTTGAAGCGAATTCATTATATTTTTTCTTTTGTAGGTTATTACAACATTGGCAGAGTTGATGTATTTTTTTATCGAAACCGTTGGTGGTTGTCGTCCTAATCTTTTTGTTTGAATACTGCACCATATAATTAGTCAATAAAAAAAAACAGAATTTCTGATTTATGCTTTGAGAAAAATCAGTAAATTTGGATTTCTTGTTTGAAATAAAAAAATAATAAATTCATTTAGTTTCAATACACTATCATATGAATAAATTTATATTAAAAAAAGAAATCACATTTTTTATTGTTCTAATAATTTTCTATATTTATTCAATAATATCGCATCTCTTACTTTACGAAATAAAATGAACAATATCTTTATTTTCTCATTAAGATGATATATTATCCTCACAGTCAGTTTTCGCATCCTCTGTTTCTTTTTTTTTAGTTTCTTGTAATGCCGTTTGAAGGAACAGTTTTCGCGTAGTCAACGGAAAAACATTGAAACGAAGAAGCCCTGGATACTCATTTCCTTTGACTGAATATAAATCTTTTCCACTTAATTCACGAATGGCAATATTTTTTCTTAGCAGCTTCTCGTAAAAACGAATTCCGGATTCAATTACATCTAATGAAAAAAAAGCGAATATATTCAATTAAATCCTTGTTGATGAATGTTATTTTAAGAGAGTAGAATTTGATTTGCAGTAAGTAATTTACGGAATATAATTTGAAAGACGCACCTGTACCAAGTTCTACCAACGCCTTGTCGATGCTGGACACTTGTGAGATCCGAATTGTATCAGTGATAAATGAATAAATTCCATATGCAAAGAACGAAAGTACTGTATAGACAAGCATTCGTCCCTGTTATGAATGAAAAAGTGATATATAATATACTTTCAAATTAAGTCCAAATAAATAACTGGCAATTTTCCTAATTATGATGATTTATTACTTACAGATCTTGGGATTTGAAATAAATTGTATCTGTCGTTAATGGCTCTTGCGGATGAATATAGTGCGAAAATGGTGGCACCTGGTACAAGTGTAGTGTGTATATGATTGTAGTTGCGTAGCTCCAACACAGAACGTAGTATTCCGAAAAGTTTTTCATCCTCAGTTAAAACCAATGATTTTTCCAACAATTCACCGTATTTACTGTTCCAATCAATTTGCTCTGTTCGAAGTTTTAGGTTCATTCGGTCAATGTCTTGTGACGTCGAATACATATAATTTAGTGGCAATCCAATCCATCCAGAATACCTTGAGTGTACTGATCCTAAAATTGTAATATTTCGAAAGAAACCAGTTTAGAAGAAAAAGTTCTTCTTAAAATGACTTCAAAGATTTAAATACCGTAAGTTCTTATATCAAAACCCGATATCATAAACGCTTTTAAGTAAGTTGCTTCCACCACCGTTAACTTCACTCGGTCTGATGCTTTATCAACTAAAGACTCCAGTTCCTCGGGCACTTCGAGCGGCAAGCCGTTTCTTTGAAACCATTGAAAAAACCTTGAAAAATCTTATAAATTTCAGTCAACCACATATTTTACCTATAAGCACGCACAAAATTTAAATAATAATCAATGAAAAAAGTTTGGTATGACGCAAAAAATGTTGGAATTCCAATTGACACGGCACCCATAACTTTATATGAGAAAAATCTACCGCGTGATGTCGTAAGATAGTGAAGCCATTCACTAAATTTCGATTTATTTTTTCCATTCTGTCCAAATTTCAAAACATCTGACATCGCGTTATTTATTTTTTTTTATAAATTCAATAAATAAAATCTACAGAAATTTTTTTAAGTTAGGTTAAGTAACTCAAATGTTATTTTCTCATTCTAATACACGTAAGACAATGCCAACAATGACAGCTTGAGAATTTAATAAACGTCGCAGCGACATCAAATTTCATATCGATGAGTGAATGTTGAACATGCATTTTGACGCTTTTTCGTGGCTATTCAGTATATTTTATTTGATAAAAATCAAATTAAAATTGAAATTTTCAATGGAAATTTTATTCCAAAAATATTTCCTTCATTTATTTCAATTTTTATTGCAGTTTTTTCTTCGCTTTGCCGGTAAATTTCCTCTCGATGATATTTAACTATAGGCTCGGAGCAGCGAATTTAGTGGAGGTGCCCGATGAAATCTTCATCGTAAGAATTAGAAGTTGTACTCACGCCGCAATAATACTTGCGCAAGTTTTTCGAGTATTTTTAGACAAACAACAGCAAAATGCCAAAAATTTACACCTAGTAAAAGAGTGGCGGCTCCACCGAACGAACCAATGAAATCGGCGAAGCTGAAGATTACATCACGACGATTTCGCACCTTTGATGATACAATTTCCCAACGAAAAGACGCTTTCCGCATGAAAAGGACCTCATCAGACCTAAAATTTAATTTTATTTCTTATTTTCAAACATTTTCTTGATACCTATAAAAAAAACTTTTCACTCGACACCATCCAATGTTTTGGTGACCATTTTAAAGAGAATCAATTTCTATAATAATTTGAGAAAGCAATCATTAAGCCCACGATTGAGATATAAATGGTTCAATTGAAGCTATTCCAATCCTTACGTTCGATACTTGATAACAATGTTTATCTATCATTCGAGTCAAGTTAAAATATTTTGAAATATGATATTTCAAATATCAATAAATTTAATACCATTCTCGATTCTCTCTACTTCGTTCCGTATATGAATAGTAAAAGCAGCTCGAAGGACATTTACAACCGCATAGAGTCCACATCGGCCATGATTTCTGATGTAAACACAAATAACCGCTAATATTGCATTCAGGACCATCTGAAAGTCGATGATTTGTTCACATAGTATAATTATAATTTCAAAATTGATTGAAATCAATTGAGACAATGGTCAAGTTTACCAACAAATGGGTAGAAAAATGGTTTGCAATTGCACAGCTCTAGTGCGTTTCTTGCTCGACAGTTCATCTCGCACAATTTTCCATTAAATTTCTACATTGGAAAAATTGTTTTTTTTTCTGTTTAAAAACATTGATATTATATGACATACCGGAATTTTGCCAAAAATTTCACTACGAAACACGCATTTCCTTTGTTTTACGTTCAAATACCTCAACGATTCCGATGGTCTGCTTGAAATTTTTTAAAAATGAAGTGAGTGCAATTGAGTGGTCGGGAATACAAATGACTAAAGTTGAACCACTTATGGATAACCGTAACACAATATTCTTGATTTTTAAAAGTGCAACATAAATTCTCTTCGCTTGAAAGTGAATCGTAAAAAATCTGTGGACTATAGAAATCGTGTTTCACTTTAATTGAAGCAAAAATGTTCGATACACTTTCAAGTACATTGGAATGATGATTCATTTTAATGGTGGTTTTGGTTGTGATTTGGCTTGGAATCCAATGGTGTTATTGGCACATCAAAATTCGCGCTCCTTATCACTTAATTTTCACTCCGAAACCAAATCACAGCCAAAACCACCATTAAAATGAATCATCACTCCAATGGCTTGAAAGTGTATCGAACATTATTGCTTCAATTAAAGTGAAACACGATTTCTATAGTCCACAGATATTTTACGATTCACTTTCAAGCGAAGAGAATTTATGTTGCACTTCAAAATCAAGAATATTGTGTTACGGTTATCCATAATTGGTCCATACTTTAGTCATTTTTATTCCCGACCACTCAATTGTATGTTGTATAAAAATGAAATTTTACAATGTTTCTGTGATTTGAAATGTAATAGCAATTTCATCGGATGGATTGAACTCCATTACGGCTGAATCGTAAACTGGGACCTCTTCGGATGAATGGATTTCTATTGTTGCCGACATATTATAGAAATCCACCCGAATAAAGCATTCATGCTTGTACAAAAAACACGTAAGAACCTCGCCCAATTCATTAGTTGAATGTAATGGTCTGAAACCATATTGATAGAACTATGGTATAAATTCATAGAAAAATTGACAATAAAAATCTGCCTTTTTTCGTCCATTTTATATAGAGAAAAATCGCTGAATCTACAACTTTTCAGTAGATATATGAATACGTGAGCACAAAAGAGCAACTTGGACTCGCAGTATTTTAAAGTGTAACATCTCCATACAAAACAAGTATACGTTTGTATGGAGATGTTACACTTTAAAATACTGCGAACCCAAATTGCTCTTTTGCGCTCACGCATTCATGTAATACTTTATAAATTGGAAGAAAAAAGCAGATAATTTTTTATGGGAAGTGATTCGAAACATTTTCAAATTACTTTGTTGTTAGAACTTTACTAATTGGTGCATTTATAACGTGACACATTCCACGTTCACTTAAGACCAATTGACTGTCGGGTCCCATGGTAGGGTCAAAAGTTTTTATGACATGATTATAGTTTGGATAAACCTGCAACGAAGTAAAATTCTAATGAAAAAATAGTTTTTTGATTTGATAGATAGTTAACATTCAGGTTTCAAAAAATTACGCACAAATTCCACAAGTTCCCGCAAGTTTATATCTCGTAATCGGTCATCTTTTCCGTACTCAAATATTGTGTGAATTCTTTCGAGAGTGAAATTCGATATTGTTTCAACAAATTGCGATAAATATTCGAAGTCTGCATCATTTTGCTTAACACCCCATGTTCTTCACGTTGATCATTGATCATTTAAAAAAGAAGTAATTCGAATTTTAAAAAAATGAGTGATTCTCTGAAAAAGTGCGCAAGGCGGAAGGATTAAAAAAACCTCAAAATATATTCTTCAGCTTTAGATTGACTGAATTTGACGTTATAACACAATGTGATAGCTGGCATCGTTCCGTTCCAACGGCGATAGTCTCTTTCGAGTCCAAAGGTGTCAAATTTAAAGGAAATTATATTCAATTAAATATACATATCTCAATATTCAGGGACTATTCAACCAAAGAGAATACCTCTCGAGTGATATGACCGTTGGATTCGCTTTGTATCGTGCCCACTGATTGAAGCACATATAAAATACGCCACCGCCAAATATCAGCATAATAAACAACCACACAATACTGCAAAGTCCAATAAATTTACTTTCTATATTAAGTGATAATGAATGTACCGTTAGATTTGATAATTAAAATTATAAATCTATTCCTAGACCTCCCCATGTGGCGGCTGTTGAACGTCAAAGTCATTTGAGGCGACGCGAGTGCCCCCAATTTCAAAGGGCACATCAACGTAATTTAACATTTCAAATCGGAACTAAACAGCGCGCCAATTCGAAATATAGGAAAATATAGTGTCAACAGCCGCACCATGGACCTCCCATTCCCGCTTTCTAAGCAGGAATTTCCCGATTTTCGTCGCCATTCCCGCCGTCCCGATTATTGTACCAAATTCCCGATTTGGGCCAAAATTCTGCCGATTTGACTTTTTTTGAAAAATTTCTTCATAATAATATGAATAAAATCTATTATTTAATTCAAGAATTTGCATTTAATACTAAGTGTGCAGTGTACACTGTATGGCCGTTGGAAAATGATAAAATGAAATGACCACCAATTTGGACGTTTTATATCAAGGCTTCGTGATAGCATACCTTAGCACGCAGTATATTTAAGGTTTGGTATAATATAGCAGCATATCGCACACACAGCTCACACAGAAAAGATTCCCCGGAAATTTTAGGTGTTCGCCGTAAAATTTGACATTTATATATAAATTTCTATATACATTTTACCGGCAACACTTGAATTTTCCGGGCGATGACATAATTTCAAATATTCCAACAGAAATTAGCGCCATCTGTCATTTCAAGCGGTAAAATCTAGGGGGATTTAACTACGTGAAAACTTGTAAAAAAATGATATAAAC